GACAGTGAGTGAGTGAGTGTTTTTAAGAGAATCGTATCACGGTGGGGACGCCAAAATTCATGTACATATTGTACCCACGTTGGGAATCAAACCCGGGCTTTAACCACTTTGCTACTCTAAAGCCCGGTACAATTTGATAACAAAAGTGTGTTTTATCAGCATATTCACAGCTGATAATCAGGAATATGTCAGCAAAAGCAACCACGATTGCAGAGAATGTGGTCACTCGGAATTACATAAAGTCCAAATTCTAGTTCTTTTATAATAAAATTAGGGGACAACTGAAACACATGTGAATGTTTTGAATTGGTAACTTTCAAAGATTGACACTTTTTAAATGTTATATTTTATATTATTCAATTTTTGCCATTAAATGTCGATTATCGATAATAATAGTATCGACGCACAAGTTTCCCTAGGGTATAAATACTATCATACCTTATAATAATTTGAAAAAATACATCTCGATTCTACAGTATACCACCAATATTTTAACCAAACTTTGAGAAAAAAATCCAACGAGCCATAATTACATTTTTCTGTGACGCATTCACGTAGGCGAATATTTGAACGGGCTAAATTTAATATACGACCATTACGAGTATACATTACCTTTAGCATCTGACCTGGATAGACATTAAAGTTGTAGTTATAAAGTGCCGTAAGGTCTTGTGTGCTTGGCTGCGACGGCAGAAATTCTACCTTCGGCTGCTGTACATCGCTTACACGCGACATGAACATGATATCTTGACAGTCTCGTTTCAATGTTCTATCCGTTGGTATCACGTTCTAGAAAACCTTATGACGTCACAGCGGATTATTTAACCAACGATCGTGATGGTTCTTATTAAGATATTGCATCTGGAGAAAACCTTCATCGGTTTGATTTCTGGTGAATCTGTCTGAGTCACTTATTCTGCATTCGGGCTAAGTTTAGAGACGTAGATTAATAATGAGACATTAAACATTGGTCAACGTGGTTATATTGTACTGAGATAACCAGATTAATATATGCCCAAGGCATACGTTTTCGACCCGTTTTTGCGAGATCTTCAACGATACGTGACCACACGCTCCATGATGTGATCAGAGTAGACGCTTCAAGGCCCACTACAGATAGCACCTGAAGTTATGTTGCGATTGTTATTCAATAAGTAACGAAAACATACCTCAGAACTTACCTTTTCACTGACACAAATTTTAATGAAACTTGATCTGATGATAATTTTGCATCAGCACAATCGTATGCACCGATTATGTATCGGCTGATGTTTGTAAACGTCCTGACTGCAATGCCATGTCACTGACAATGTAATGTAACTTGAGTGAGTGAGTGAGTGAGTTTGGTTTAACGCCGCTTTTAACAGTTTTCGAGTTATATCACGGCGTGTCAGCTTAATGTGGGAGGAAAGCCCGAAGTGATGCAGGTCTCAGACGTTTACCACTTCGGTGAAACCCACGAGCGCGGGTATGGGGCTGACAAACCTAGAAACATAATCGGGGCGAACCGGGATTCGAACCTACAATCAGAGGTTCCTGGCATGCCCAAGGGACGCAACTCTGCACAGCGAATCGCGGCGCCTTAGACGACTGGGCCACCCGTGCCCCCTAATGTAACTTGACTGTAAGGGAGAAGCTCGTGATCATGTGACGGTAACAAGATGTTCTCAAAAGTTAGACGTAATTTATGGGGATTGTTATTAGACATGTAATGAGAAATACTTCTTTGGGGCTCGAAAACCCATAATACGAAGATATGTCCAGTGAAGATTTATTGACACATTTAACCTTCATTCTTGTCTCGACGTAGTTATATTTATAGTTGCATGTAGGTAGGTATGGTTGACATCGAGGCGATGGGGTGGCCCAGTGGTAAAAGTGTTCGCTCGTCACGCCGAAAGTCCCGGTTCGATTCCCCCCATTGATACAATACGTGAAGGCCATTCTGGTGTCCACCATCGCGACATGATTTAAATATTGCCAAAAGCCGCGTAAAACCATCGTTGATTGTATCTAAGTATTAATTTTGTAAACGAAGCAGACACGCGCATCAATCAGTCCGGGTTGCCTGTCCCATCATTCCAGAGAGACTATCTTTCTTAGCGTTATTGAACCGTACACTGTTCAAATCAACATAATCATACATGTACGATAGCCAGCGAAACGCAAAAGTTATCAGATATGTTAATGGAAGCAACAAAGCTCTGGTGTCCTTCTCCGCGACATGGCTGGAATAATGCTGAAAGCAGCGTAAAACCATAGTCTCTCACTAACACGTCATCGTCTAAATAACATACGTGTATTATATTCCTGAGATATTGTTATACATTTGTAATCGTAGCATAAATATAATGATAACAACGATTCATATTCATATTGCTCGGTACCCACCCCTAAGGCGTGCTGAAAGTGCTTCATTCTCATCATGATCAACGGATTAGTTGTACAGTCAATTGCTTCCTCAGCTCCCTGTGGATTATACATGAACATGTACAACCCACACTGGGTTAGAAGGTTCTCATTTGGCCTTATCATCTCATCCAGCTTGTTACAAAGTCATTTTCGATCAAGGTCACTTGCCCGCGGGGCAAGACAGTGGCCTAAAACCCTCAGGTGTAAAGCTTGCCGAACGCACCCTCCCGCTACACTTCGCCGCCAACGTTGCTTGGCGTTGCTTAACCGATTGTGACTACATGCCACTAAATATTAAGTTGTTTAATCATAATGTCGGACACATTAAACACATTGGGATACATAATTTATCAAACCCAGTATAAAAATATTTTTTACCATATATATTGTTACAAGATTACCTTTGGTCACGGGCATTCTCATTATCAGATTATCTTTCGACAGATCGTCGTGTTTCATTGATTTAATCGTCCCTGTGTCTTGGAGCAGTAGGTCCAAAAACATGCAAATGTAAGAAAGGAAAAGAAGGATAGTTGTCAGCCATTTCTACATGTCTGATAATTATCAAAGCAATTATAATTCAGCGTTTCCGCAACCGTAAAATTTGACATGTCGAGTGGGTTAAATAGACCGTCACCCTACCTCGTCCATTAGTTTAATGTATTGATTTGGATAGTGTTATCGTACTAAGTCAATAGTTATGTTCTATAACATAGTAAACCCCTGTCCCCATGACCATGTACATTTGTCGGATGTGTCAGGGCTGTTCTGCACTCGATCGTTGATTGTAGCCAAGTATTAACTTTGTAAACAAAACAAACACGCGCATCAATCAATCCGGCTTGTCTGTTCCATCTTTCGAGAGAGACAACCCTTCCTAGCGTTATTGAACTTTACATAGTTCAAATCATCATAAACCTACCAGAGTCACCGACACGCAAAGGTCATCAGATGTGTTAATAGAAGCAACACAGTTCCTTCAGTAAATCTCTACATAAATGGTGATGCAATGTAGGAGTCGGGCGTTCTATAAGATCATGTCTCATCTCACCGCGGGCAAAATCAATAGTAATCCGGTTAACATCATAGAGAGGTTTAAACGAGTTATCCTGCTGGTTATAATTATCATCTATATTACCGGCTCATAGTGAGGTTCACCTACCGTTGTCCGGCTCTCCAAAGATTGCCCATTCATTGGAGGCTGTTAGTTCTAGGGTCCGGGCTATATGGACTAAAGCACACCTCATTTTCATAAAAGTTTTGTTTGTTTGTTGTTTAAAGACGCACCCAGCGATAGTCCAGCTATATGATGGCGGACTGTAAATAATCGAATCTGGACCAGACTATCTGGTGACTGACAGCGAACCAGACAAACCAGTCCCGATTGTTGAAGACCAGTTCTAACCCGGATCTTCACGGGCTTGGTTCAATTGTAATTACATACATGTGTACATCAGTGAGTGAAAAAGAACACATTGTACGTATCCCTATATTGGCAACTCTTTTTGAGACGTCGGAACGTTGTTACTAAGGGTGTTCTAAACATTGTGAGTTTTGTTTCCTTTTTGTTTTGTTTTACGCTGCACTACCCAATATTCCAGGGCCCACTTGCACAAAACGTGGGCACTAAAACTATTGTAAGCCTATGTTAAAGTATGGGAGTTAAGATCATCTTAGCGCTAAGATCTCTTTGTGCAAGTGGGCCATGCTATATGACGGCGGTCTGTAAATATTTGAGTCCGGGCCAGACAATCCAGTGATTGGCATCATGAGCATCGATCTACGCAATTGGGATAAGATGACATGCATCAACCAAGTCAGCGAGCCTGACCACCCGACCTCGTCAGTAGCCTCTTACGACAAGCATAGTCGCCTTTTACGGCAAGCATGGGTTGCTGAAGACCTATTCTACCCCGAATCTTCACGGGTCAGTTTGTTAGTGATATAATGTTTTGCAATAAACATTTTGGGGCAATCCGGTACAGCACAAATATTAGTGCCCAGCGCCCCATTCTAGTTGTAAGAGTAAAAATGAGGATACTGTGGTCACAAGACATAACCTGATTAGTCCAGTTCCATCAGAATGTATTGTGTCAGTACCTTCATTAGCTGATAAACATTCAGTACACATTCAATCTTTAAAGAATTTTCTATCTTATCCTTGCTCAACGCAAAAATGATAAAGTAATATAATTGCAAAAATACAGTTTAAAGCATGGCTGGTGAAATATAAAATAAATATGAATGGACGAAACGTGCTAAGTTTATCCCTCCCGAAGTATGTCAACAAGCACGGCGGGTAGAAAAAACATACACGTTTTCTATTTTTTAGATATTCCACTTTTGTGATTCTTTTCTGTTCGACTGATGAGGCGGTTGGGTAGCCTAGCTAACGGTTTAATCGTTCGCTCCCCATATGTTTGATATGTTCTGATATCGCCCGTCGTGATATGTTAAAAGCGGCGTAAAACGCATTCACTCACTGTTCCACCTATTCGTAAACCAAGCAGTGAAGTGGGGACCGTATCACACGCGAATAGTGATTTTGAGCTCCATGACTTAAAACCAAAATGTCATTTGTCTTACAGTGCAATCCTTCCACAAACATGACATCGACAGCGATCAGCGTCACGCGTGATTCCATCACAAGGGGAGACAACTTGATTCAACAATCCTCCATGGAACATTCTAACAGCTCATCTATTGCGGCTAGCAACATGACCAACTACACGGCATCTTTCAACGACACAACTACACCGGAGTACGTGCAGAGCGTCCACGACATCACGTACGATTTCAACATCCGTCGTATTGTCCTCTTCCTCCAGATTATCCTCGGGGCTATCGGGGGCTTCCTCGTCATTCTGTGGATGTGGCACAACCGACGACAAAGGTCCCGTGTTAACGCTCTGATCTTGAACCTATGCGTGAGCGACTTGTGTGTTGTTTTCTTCGCTCTGCTTCCCCAACTCGTATGGGAGTATGTTGAGCGAGAGTGGATGGCAGGGGAAGTAATGTGCAGACTTGTCAAATTCATGCAAAGCTTTGCTTTGTTCGCTTCAGCCAACATGCTTGTCATCATTGCGTTGGACAGGCATCAAGCAATACGGGCACCTCTGAGGGAACCACGCAAAGTAAGTTCAACCATCTCCTCTATTTTCCACTAAGCTGTATCAGTTTACCCCTGGTAAATGTTCAGCCTACATTAAGTTTCAGGGTTTTTACAGGCCAGTCCCATATCATCGTAGTACCAGTTATGTGAACGTCACTACTGGCATTGTAGTAGAAGTAATACCTGTTTGTAAAAGTGTAATTAAACGAAACGATTTTATGTGACTGTAGTAAGCAATAGCAGCAGGAGTAGCAGGGGTGGCGGTGGCCGTAGCAGTAGAAGAAAAAACCTGTTACCGAAAATGATGAGAAAATCATTTCCTTAGGTTTTAACACCTAAGGTAAATCGTTCCATAGCCAAGCTGGACGTTGTGTAGGTAAAACAATATGTTTGACTTCTGTTAAAAGTTCTCTGACTGAAAACATTCATCTTTCTCAAATATACACACACTTACAATCTCCCACCACCACGAATAATAACAATCTATTAGCTCAAAATTAACAAACCTTTTCACCTTAATACATCAATCATCTATCGATAGCCTAAATATCACTGCGTATGACAATGGATAACCCAGTGTAGAAGTCTTCACATGTACGTTCTGTATGGGAACATGTACGTTCTATATGGGGACATTATCATTTGTGCTGTCACTCACTGATACACTGCACAAGCACTAGATTACAGCAGCAAACATAAATACAGATCGGGATTGTCCTCTGGGTTCATGCAGTTTGTAAACAGAACTGTCACCGTGAAAAACTTAACTAACAGAAGTAACTCAAGTAAAGCCATGTCGAAGTTCGGGGTGCAGAAAAAACCCCACTTTTATCAACTATGTGTCTACAGAGGGTGATTTGCTCATTCGTTTAAAAAAACCCACATATATTTGTTCTAAATATTATTTTGAACCGACAGTAATATAATTGATGGTTAGCTATTGTGTTTTTCACGACCTGTGTTCTGTGATAGTTGATCTATTTACCCATGTGTGGACCTGAGAAGATCCGGGGGATGAGTAGGTCTTCAGCAACCCATGCTTACTGTAAAAGGCGACTGTGCATGTCGTAAGAGAGAATAACGGGATCGGGTGGTCAGGCTCGCTGACTTGGTTCATACATGTCATCGTATCCCAATTGCGTGGATCGATGCGCATGATGTTAATCACTGGATTGTCTGGTCCAGACTAGATTATTTACAGACCGCCGTCATATAGCTTGAATATTGCTGAAACAAACAAACAAACCCATCTTGGATGCCCTCAATTAAGGCGCCACAAATCGTGCCTTGGGAGTATCAGATTCTGTACTCGTGGTTTCGAATCCGAGATTCGTTCTTATTAAAATGCATGGTTTGTTAGCACCATACCCGTGCTTGTGTATTCATCAAAGACGTCTAAGACTTTCCTCCCATCCACCCTCCATAATACCCCCTACTCACTTTGGGCTCACTAACTCAATCGTCAGCTTCACAAGAGTGAGACTGTCCAATTTACCTTGGATCGCAAAATAGCTGTCATATTGCCGATGCAATGTAAAATTATAAGTCGCTCAGTTCACCTTGACATAAGTAACTATGAAATGTCATCTTTTCATTCCAGGTGTGGATGATGACTGGATGGGGTTGGGGTGCTGCTGCGGTTCTGTCCATTCCTATGATGTTCGTCTTTCACCTGAAATTCAACGAGCATGAAAATATGATGAAATGTGAAAATATTTTCCGAGGCAAGGCTCCATGGCACAGACAGGCCTTCATAACTTACGCTGCCATATTTGTATTTTTGCTACCTCTCATCATCTTGGTAGTCTGCTATGTACGAATCTTTACAAAAATTGCTCAAAAAGCCTCGGAAAACAAGACATCACGACGACAAAGCTTTAAACCTGGGAAAATCCACCTTACAAGTACCGGAAACACGTCTCTTCCGAAAGCAAAGATCAAAACTCTGAAAATGACAGTCGTAATCGTGGCTGCTTACATCATCTGCGGGCTGCCGTATTTTGTTGCGGAGATGATAATGTCCTATGGCAATTTCAAAATTTTGGAAAAAAATATTTACGGAATACTTGGAGGCATCGCAGCTGCCAACTCGTGCGCCAATCCGTTTGTGTTCCTGCTCTTTAACGCCAACTGGCAATGTGTCCGGGGCCTGAAGCTGTGCCCAATGCAGACAGAGGCCACAAAGAGAAGCTTCATGTATTCAACAGCCAGTACCAGATCAGAATATTCAACAGGTTATGCTAGAGGAACTCCGATTACTGCGTCTGATACGTACGAGATGTCGACTGTTCGAGTCCATTAAATCTTGACATTTCATTGGAAGATCTTGATCTGAACAGCGTCCATAAATGTGTGTTATGGTATTTTGATGAACCAAGATGAACATCCGATCAATGACAATATTATAGAAATAGCATCTTCCCGAGGCTAGGGAGTTAAATGACAGTATAAGTCAAGTTTCCACTCTTGCCGAACTAAGCTGGAATTATGGAGATATATTTTGGCTGGACTAACGAGTCTATGCATAGTCCAATCAAATTCACGTAACAAAATCGACATCTGGTTCGTCAGCTGCCGTGCAGATTTCAGGCGATTGCAGGATTTGTAAGTATGTGTACCGCTATCTCGGCGTCAACAGATATTTTCCAAACACTCTCATGATTTTAATGCTCACGTGATTTGATGCAAAGACCCGTTTTTTTCACAATATAGATCTTGATTATCGATCACATCGTCTTGACTGGGCGCCGCCATTTTGTTTGAAGCAAATGCAAGTGATATGAGAAGTGGAATCTGATTGATCAATAGGAGGGCCATAGAAGGGCCATAATAGCCACTGGTGGTGCTATGAACGAGCCCAGAAAATCCAGCATAGTTCGGCAAGGGTGGAAACTGGACTTTTAGTCAGTTAACTCCCTTGCCTCGGGCAGATGTGGAATTAGTGACTATATGTGGCTCTTATTGTGAGGGTGTAGTTGTTGATAAACGAAAGCTATTGTTGCTTGGTTTAACAGGAAGGAAGTCTATCAAGTGTCGAATACGATAGCTGCTCGTAAGAATCGTGTTGCTGTGACAGTCGAGGACAGGGAAGTGAACCTTTTTGGGATAACATACTGGAACTGAAAACTGCGCATGTGATTCGATGTGCCATGCTAATGTGTTATTTTGCAATGGTTGGAGAATGCCCCTGAATAACATAAAGTTGTGTACCACACTAACAATGTGAGCTGTACCTACAGTTTGTAGTTACCGGGCCAGACTGCCAGGAGAAGGCAATACACAGATGGATTACTTCAAAATGAAAATAGGGCAATGCTGCAGTCAACGTTGGCGCTTTCGATACACCGGCAGTTCTTCATTCCTGTTATAAGTTACAAGGTGTCAGTGTCTGAAGACATAACATTAATACGCACATTGGGTGATGGAGAGCAGCAACCGTTTAAACCTCATCATATGTGATCATAACTATTGTTGGGAGCTCAACACCTTTTTTGTATACGTCAGTTCATCCTGGAAACGTACGGCCCATTGTCACTAAATTAACATTGACATATTTGGAATCATGATTATGATATTGTATGTTGATGAGGAAAATATGGCTATTGAAAGAAACCGGCTTATTTATGTGTTCAGACTGATTAATGAGACGTTAACGAGTCTTTTAACTCAACTGGACATTTTGTGGTCTGTTCCACATTTATCTGTCATACTACTTCTGCGTGTGTTATCAGTTAAAACCGATATTTTTGTATGATGACGAAGAGATCTGGTACTTCTCTTGCTTCTCCCGGATCCATAATCCATCTAAGGTTTACGTATACACCATGACCCATGAGAAGGAGTACAACTGTGTGCAGACAATGTAGACGCCGTGTCACATCACCACGTCACGTCGTATTCTCCACGTGATGGACATGCAGAAGGTTCACTGCTTCGTGAGACTCAAGATAAAACCTGAAAACTGTAAAAGGTCTTACTCGAGCTGATAGTGCAATAAATCATAATTCCATACAAACTACATCAAAGGGCGGGTCTGTGTGGGTGGACTAATGATGTATTATTTTGTAAATATAGTCTGTCCTGTCAGAAAATGATTCTTGTGATATGTCACCTTGCTCATTTGAATTTTCATGATGTAGCTTTGCTTATTTGAATGTCATTATGTAAATTAGAATAAGAAAATTCACATCCGTTTTGAAAATAATGATGAAGAAACTGTATGTTCGTTTCGTTGAGACATTTAGACATCCAGGCAGGAAGTGGACATCCAATTGTGCTCCCCTTCTTGCTCATCTGTTTCTTAATGCATATGAGGTTCTGTTCGGATTGTTAAAATCAAAACGAAGGAATTTGGCCATAGGTGTATCTATGATTTGATATCATTCAATAATAGTCAAATGGCCAATTCCCTTCCACTGCTTTACCCACCTGAACGAGGAATAAAAGAGGCCGCTCCATCTGATTCATATTTAGATCTATGCTTAAATATTCAGAGTGACAAAACCACTCCACAAGACTGAGGGATGACTTCTACTTTCAAATATTCAAATTTCATTTTATGACGAGACGTGGTCAAGCAGCTCCAGCCTTTGGTGTCGACATTCCACAACTTTTGAGGTACAATCGAGCATGCTCTTTCGAACATTTTAAAGATATCAAGCGTCTCATTCGACTCTTGCGCAAAAGTTCCCATCAGGGTTACAGCATTGAGGGCCTCAGCAAAGCTTTCCAAAATGTTTTACGGTGGACATGTGGATGGCATTTCAAAATTTGACACATCAATGACCAAAATGATGTCTGATGCAATTCTCTATTTTTGACTTGTACCATATGTTCCCGAGTATTTTCAGGCGAACAATTGACTTGCCTTTGCATGTGTTTGTGATGGGTGCACACCTATTCTCGAACACTTGCTATCATCACTATTTGATTGTGATTAATAAACACATGCTCATGGAATTGTGCAATGAACTCTGCCTTTAGTAGAGATGTCTTATGATCATTGAAATGTTTTCTGTCGCTTGTATTTTTAATAATGTCATGTTTCTGGTTATTTATTGAAAAACATGGATTCAGGAAAACTGTAGTTGATGTACATTTCAAGGTAACAGGCTGGTGACTGATATTGTTATATATGTCAATAGTATATTTTGTAATAACTCTATACATGTATATATGTACATGATTACAGTAAGTGCATAACATTTACATATTCATGACTGTGGAAATTTCAAATATCATTGTTTGAAACATCGGCAAACATGTCCGTATACCTTGTAGTATATATGTGTTATTTAAATCATACAGCTATTCTATTACTTTGAAAATGAAAACCAATTTACTTTTATATTATCAACTACATTTGGCATGATTACCTATATATCTTGAATTAATATATGACATTTAAATACTCATTTGTAGAATATTTGACATCTAATGGTTGCCACCATTTTACCAACCAGAACGAAGGCAGAGCTGTCCTTGGACTAATGACACGAACATTGTTTGGTCAATGTGTAGTTCCATAAGGTTCTGGTGATTTTATGTGTACTTTGACCGGGAATCGTCATTGTGAATATGGAAATTACATTTTGTGTTGTTTTGTTAATTCAATGTTGGGAACGTCCCGATAGAGCTACAGTGGTGGTTTCAAAAGTCTGATGTGATACGCAAGACTAATTCTCTAGAGAGATCTCACACTAACGATCAGTTCGTTTACCCTGACAGTGAGGTGCTGCGGAAAACGTGATTTAATTTCCTGTTGTTAGACAGCATCTCCATACAAATCCCGTTGTTATCCACACACTGTCACATTTTGAGGGATTGTCCTCTAACTGTGGCGGCCCGTGTAGGCACTTGCTACATTAGTTGGTATATTTCCATCACACTAATTTGTTGTCCTCGCCCCGAATAGTAGTGGATACTCATGAACAGAACAAAGTGTGTTGTCAATACGAGGACTGCATAAGATTGTATCAATAGAGAGTTGGATATTTACAAATGTTGTTTGGAAGATCTTTATTGTTTTTACTGGTTGTGAAACGTGCCAATGGTGTTAAATTCCTACATATGTCAGTAGAACCTGCAATAGTGTTGATGTCCTTTATTAGTTAAGTTAAATAGCAATTAATATGTTAAATTTATTGTGTTTGGGTTTGCCTGCTTCGATTATTATATCAGCATTAAAGTCGTGAACGAAACTAGTTTAAGTTGGATACGACAATTCTTACGTGACAAATGTGATAACACAATTCTCTTTGGTACGCTTGAATTTTTTTATCAGTGACAACACGGAAAGTATGAATTTCAAAATGTAGATATTTTTTGTATCCATTTGTTTGATTCTTTTTCCTTTCCGGAGGGGATCCGTTGTTGCGATTTGATTAAAACTAATAATGATTTCCACAACTAAAGTCTCCTCGATCGCAACTTTTGACAAGTGATGCATGCATAAATGTCCCAGGGTTGCGTCCGTGGCACGGAGATTCTCGTAATGTTCGCTATTGAGGGGACGTATTTTTTGTCAGTCGTGTTATCTCAAATCCTGATGGCCGCCATGTCAAAGTTTTAGAATGATTGCTAGCTATTATTATTTAGGAGACGTGGAGAGTGTTATTGTTTTGTTACACATTTGCTAAATATTGTTTTGGTTGTATATGTGCTGTGTTTGTTGAAATAAAACATTGAATGTTTTTGTTTCCTATCATTTTCAACAAACTGAATTAGTTTGACATTGGCCATGCATTGTTTGATGTTAATTCTTTAAAAATACATGCAGTCATTGTGAAATTATGAGAGAGTGGGATGTTTAACGCTGCTTATAACGACATTTCAGTTATGGCATGGCGTGTCTGGTTAATGTGGGAGGGTAGCCCAAAGTTATGCAGGCCTAAGACATTTATCAGTTTGGGTAAACCACGACCATGGGCATGGTGCTAACAAACCAAGAATCAAAACCAGGGCGAACCGGGATTCGAACCCATGGGCATAGGTTTCTGGTACGCCTAAGGAACACAACTCTGCAACAGCGAATTACGGGGCCTTGGTCGACAGGGCCATCTGTACCCACTGGCATCTCTCCGGTGGCATTCATGTTACTGACCAAACTTTAAGGTGCACTATAGATCTTCATTGACATGGAGGCGAAGGGTAAAAGCGATCAGTTGTCAAGGTGAACAACCGCTTTCGAATACTAAATGCGACACAATGTGTGAGGTCAGTCGTGGCATCCCCTGTCGTATTTGTGCTGTAATGGTGCTAAAACCGGCGTAAACTTCAATCACTTTTCATTACATGCAACCATAAGATTAGTTGTCACCAAACGGAAAAAGTAACTGTGCATCATGTAAAGTTCAATAAATAAATTTCTTTCTGAAATTAAATAATACTTCTTTCAATTATACATGTCCATGAAGACCTCTCCTCGACAAAAACTTATGATCTCATTTAGCACGTGCATCTGAATTCACGGCCCACAATTTTGATGTTTGCGAGTTTGTTGGGAGCATGACACCCAC